ACAAGCTGGTTTGGATAGCTTGACATAATTTAGCCGTCGTTGTGTCGTGCGTTTGGAACGCCCACCGAAGCACATGGACAGCTTGGTACATACTAATGCGTGGTCGGATTCGAGAGGAGTGCTCCAGTACGAACGGCAGTCTTGGATGCAGCCCCGCCATTTGTGGCTTATAGCGATGTGGTCAATCTGCGTCCGTCTCAAACACTAGTATAGTCTTGTGTCAATCGAACTGTCTGGTGGTATCGTTTTAAGCTGAAACGTTGATATCATTATTGCTATTGATGTTTTCATTATTTGTTAATGCTACTGTTCGTCTGCACTTGTCTTGTCCCATTTATTTTTCTTTTTGTATATTCAAGTTTCATGGATGGCTTTGATCTTTTGCGCTTAATCGTTCCTCGTTTATGGGCTTTAAAGTGCTCCGGAATCAGATTTCACGAGGATGATTTCATCTTCATCATGAGCCATTGATTGAATTCCGTCCCTTCTACTTCTGTGTCCGCTGTTCCCCACCCTAAATGCCACATCTGCAGATCTCGTTACTCCAAGTTTATGCCCAGTGAAAACAGGACAATTGGCTGGGGATAAAAAGTACCTCATCCCACCCACTCATCCAACCCTCACACCCAATGAACTGGTCCGTGAGGTGGAACACTTTTTCGACATCCGATCCGTACCGGCAGCTGGTGTTGGAACTGATTCCGTAATGTGTTCGAGTGTCGGCGAAACTGGTACGTCTATCTCGGTCTAACCAGGTCACGTGTTAGGCGCTATTTTGCTGATTCTATTGTTGCTCAACTCGTTCTTCATCTTAAGCAACTGCTTGTTCTCTGGTAACCATTGCAGTGATTTTTTATGAATTTTCTTTTTGTTAATTTATTAATAGTTTTAGCTCCTGTTCAAGTGGTGCCTTCTGAAATGGCAGTGGTTGTTTGTTATAGGCCGTTCACCCATCGTCTCGTATTTCGTTGGTTTGAGCCTCCCACCGGTCGCCCTATTTAAGCCTTCTTGTCAGCCTTAAATTAGTCGCAGCTCTCTCTCTCATGCAGATCATAATTGTAACTTCGTTATGTATCAAAGGTAATGGAGCTATCACCATTATTTGGTTTCCTTATAAAGACGCGAATTCCACCCCTTGTAATTTTACCGAGGACGGATCACCGAATAGACCTAGTTTTGGATTTGGAACGAAAACTGTTGGGGGCGGGGCA